ACAAGTAAAAATAACCTCATGAATGCAATCTTCAAACTGAAGGTCAGTAATGACTCCAGTCCAAATTACTTGTTGTCTGCGAAATTAAAGCTTAAAAGATTAAGATGCATGCAAGCCAACTGTACGACACAACTAGGTTAGAAATAGATTACAAACGTCCCAAACTTTTCAATGAACAGTGTGCTAGCTGGTTATTAAAACTCTGTTCATAGTTTCCTCTACTCGGCTCTTCACTGTAACATTTCCCCCCTAGGTGCATTTTCACACCCTGCACAAAGCTGAGGGCACACCAGCTGATGATTCCTTCATGCCTGCCTCCCTACCCTACCACCCACCATGGATTACCATGAAGCATCACTCAACCTCTGCTCGAAGGGCTGCATTTGGTAGCACTGCATCTCTTGTAGCTTTCTTTTACTTTCCTGTATCTTTCTTTGGCAATGAAAAGCAGATAAAACGCAGCAGATAAGTCGTGTTTGAGACACACAACTTAGTTGTACAGATGATAGGGAATATGCATTAGTGTCACAGATAAATGAAGAAACAGCTGCAGAGACATCCATCCCACAGTCAGCGTTTGGGGAAAGGAGGACAGTTCTCTAAGTACTTCCATACACTAAAACCTTCTACAGCTCAAAATTTACAGCTATTGTGATTAGGCAGATCTTCCTCCGTGTGCCCATGTAAGACAAAATCAGAACATTACACAAGGATCCAAAAGAAAAGCTTCCAAGTCTCACTGCCACAGTCAAATAGGCTGCCCTCAGCCATCCGCATGGGTAAACTTCACCTTGTTGGGATAAATTTGGTCAGAGACTTCAAAATTAATCACAGGTTGAGTTTCTCAGCTTCCAGAGGCTCAGATGAAGATATTGTAAAAGAGACTGAATTTATGAGTACGCCTGCTAGTTCAGAAAACCCAGCCTGCCATTTAGTTTGGCCATCCAAAACCAGAGGCAGCTTCAATTGTCACTTTTTGAAAATGAATCCTCATGTGCCAACCTCAGGCGATTTCATCATGTCAGTGAGAACAGAAAAATCCCTCCAGCCCAGAGTTCTCACTGGTGATCTGCAAAGTCTCATCAACACTAACTGGAAGAGAAAAGCAACTCACCTTCAGGTTCCTGAAGCACACCTTCCTATTCTCAGTAGCAAGCAATGACACGAATCCTTCTGATATAATTTAGAACCACATTAGTTTTGAAATTAGTAAGTCGTGAGCCCATCCTTATGGTGTCTCTGACTTGTACTGGATTTGAAACTTTTTCACGTTTTCTGTACTGCTTAAAAACAAGCAAGGGAGATGAGGAGAGTTGTAATACTCAACACTAACAGCATTATCTTCACAGTTGCTTGCAGCAATTTTGCTTGCATTTATTAACGCTTTCTTAGAGTTTGCAACAGAAAATGGGCTGGCACAAGACAGGCACATGGTTAATCTCCCCAGTCTGTTGACACTATTCAAACCAATCTAATTTCCAGCCCAACCCTGCCCATTCTGTCTGTGCCACAAAGAAAATAGGAGCACAATAGTGCAATAGAGCTGATTTTTGTCTACATCAACTGCTTTTTAGCATGAGAGCAGCTCTTCAGGAGACTTACAACACTCCCACAGCTATTTGGAAGCCCTAAAACGAGGCATAGCAGCAGACGGTATAAACAAGTTGGGTGGTTTTCAGACACCCATCCTGCAAGCAGCTCAGCGTGTGGAAATGAGTTTGGCTGCAATTGCTTGCAGGACTGGGGCTCTAGCTACCAAGTTGATAGATTCCTTAACATTTCCAAATTAAAAGCATAAATAAAGAAACGAAGTGGAAGCTTCTCTAATTGCTGCTTTGCTTGATGGCTTCTGGCAGCCTGTTCCCATGCTATTCCAGAGCGACTCCTGAGAATGCAGCAGTTCTCCCCGCTCGCCTCTTTTCCCTTTGCGCTGCATCAGCTCCCAGCAGCAGCACCCTCTCACATGAGTTCTGGCCCTGATCTCACTGGCCTTACCATCGCCCTCCAGAGTGGGAAGCTACCTGAAAGGCAGAGGAGAAAAGCAATGTAGGAGTGTGTTGGATGCAGCACAGCCTGGGGCATGCTGGAGCCTGCAGCCAGGGCAGCGTGGGCGCTGGGCAGGGGGAGGCTTTCCCCTCTAGACCCACCGTGCTGGATGAGGGAGCCTTGCTGTCAGCCTTTAAGGAACTTCAGAGAGACACGTCGTGGAAGGAGAGCGCTTTGTTAGTTGTTTCAAGCTTCTTGGGGCATCTGCTTCTCTACTCGGAGAGTAAAAGATGCTCACACGGCAAAAATGTAAACTAAAGGAGTAATGGAAGCAGCTCTTGGAGCCAGAGGGAGATGTGCTTGTAGGTCATTTCCAACCTTTCCGTGTGCCCCAAACAAAGAAGGTGCCATAGGATGCCGTACGTCAGGAAAAAAAATAAGCCCGTGCCAGCTCTAATTGGCACCTAAAATGAAAAGCTCATCCTTTTGTCTTTGGTCTCTCTGAACTTTGTTTTCCTATCTTTAAAACACTCCTTCATCTCACAGAGGTTTAGGGAGAATTAATTAATCGTTCACCAATTGCTTAGATACAACGGCAATGACATCGGCAGAAGTTCAAGAGGAAATTAATAATTCTGCCTCTGGAACAGGGTTTGAATAGAGCCTGGTAAATAAGGCAGAAGGGCACACACTGAACAATGAACAGAAAACGAAATAATGAATAGCTGCTCATTAAGTGAGTAAAGTCCATTCTGAGCTCCGAAGGAGGCAGGGACCCTATGGAGAAACCAGCATGTGTTCATGTAATTAAAGACCACAATCATGCATACACGGCGGGGGGGGCAAATGAAGGTTGTGCAAAGAACCTTAAAGCTGCTATTTTATAACTTTCCAGTGTTTGTCTTTCAACCTTAATAATGCTCTTTTAACGCATTTTTTCAGTGCGTAGTGTCATATAGAGAGAGGTGTGGGCATTGTGCTTTCCTCTCCAGTTCCAGCAGTGGGAAGTCTATGCTGATTTGTTCTGGGAAGCACACAGTTATTAGCCATTAAAGGCTTAGAAAAATAACCAGAGCTGGTGTTCAAAGAAACGTATTTTCTTGAAGGTGTGGGTTTTTGTGTTTAAAGATAGTTCTCTGGCCCATGGGTGCTACAGCAATCCCAAGCACCCACTCCTCTGCAATTCCTCATGCAAACTGGCACCAGGATCATCTTGAAACTGTCCCCCCAGCTGGTGAGATCCTACATGTAAGACACTAGTGGAACCAGGGAAGACAAAATCAGGACAAATCAGGCCTGATCACAGTTGTCTGCTTAACAAAAAGACTCACAGACTGTGCTTCGGATGACCTAGGGCAGCCAGTCCTTTCCTGCTCTTCTGAAAGCTGTCATGCCTGGAAAGCTGAAGGCATTTACCAGAACATTTTGGCTGTGTTGCATCCTCCAGAAACAAACACCTCCCACTCACAAATGAAGATGACTGACACTCTTTGTCCACCCCCAAACTCCATCAAGCCTTCTCCACTGAAAGCTGTCATTTGTAGCTAGTTTATTAGCAGGCTTCAGGCTTGCAGTCAATGAGAGTGAAAGTCAGAAAAATTAGCTTCTCTGTCATCGTGCTAAACAGTTAATCTTCTTCATTTGTTTGAAAAAAGCAACCCGAGGAGACAGTCCTACCGATTACAGAAGATCTCTGGAAAACACAGATCTGTGCCCTGGGAAAGCTCTGGTAATTAAAATCTGGCCTGAATCAATTAGCTTCTCATAGTAAGAGTTGCAGGAGAACCACTAACGTATTGAGCAAGAGCTTGTAGCTTTCAGCTGCATGTTTCCATGCAAACCAGAGTTAGGTGTCTGAAAAGTCACTCTGGATTCTTCCCCAACCTCCCCATAATGAAAACGTTCATCTTCACCTGAAAAAGTTAATGGTTAAAACAAATAAAGTTGGATTACGAATATTCTCAGGAAAACCTAAGTTCTCTGCTTGCTCTCTCACACTGACCAAGTTACAAAGGCCACTTCTTTCAAACTGTCCTTCCAGAGCAACCCTCTTGCTCTGCATTGATCCTGTTATCCTGCTTCATCTCTTTGCAAACAAGTCTGTATGGTAAGATTTCAAAGAACATCTGACAAGATCATAAAAATACTGGGCATGTTGACAAGCACTAAGGTGAATGCAGATTCAGATATTTAATTATGCAGAGTCAATCATGTCAGCAATTCAGACAGCAGCTCAGATCTCACAACTTAATTACTTTAATTTCAGATGAATAGTTTGTGTTGTCGTTTTTAGTTTGACATACTGCAAAAACAGTCAGACATTATCCTAGGAATGGACAGCCCTCCTGTTAGTGAGGTAAAATCCGTTGTATCCTTGGGAATGTTCAGAATCTGACTGGAGACGGCCCTAAGCAAAATGGTTCCACCTTGAAGTCAGCTCTGCTTTCATCTGGGGGTGGTGGGAGGCTCTCGGTTGCACACCTCCAGAGGCCCCTTCCCACATTCTGAGAATCCAGGGATATAAATAAAGAGATAACCTAGAAGCCAAGTCCTTCTTATTTAATTCTGAAGTCATGTCAGTTGCCAGCAATGCCCCTTGAACAAAGGCAGCATCCTTCCTGATGCTCCAGAAGCGCCATCATTATTTTGGAGGACTCTTTCATGGCTCACCAACTGCCATTCTTACCAGCCAGATGCACACACGCTTCCACACTTTTTTCCATGCACCAGAACATCACAGCACACCCTTCAACAGCTACCAAGAGGACGTGTTCAGTGACCAACTTCTATTCCTTTGACCACCTACATATCTCAGGAAGCTTAAAACATCCGAGCTGATATTTGCTCTTCTGCTTTTCATTTCAAAACATGTAAGAGAAATAGAACAGGGCCCTGTTAAAAAGGACAAAACCAGGGAAGTTTGTGGCAGGGTTGCGACCTGGCAACTGGATTTCACAATAAAGCCAAGGCACGTGATGAAGCAATTACTGTTAGGAATCATTAAATGCTCTTACCTGTCCTGCAAACAGCCCACACACACCAATAATACAGAGAATGTTAAATACAGCAGAGCCTACGATGGTTCCAACGCCTACGTCTCCTTTTGTGATAAAAACACCTGAAAAACAAGTTCAAGGCAAGCTGTGTAAATTGGAAAGTACAGAGTTTTTCTTCTAAAATTGCTCCATTAATGAACCTAAAGGCATACACCAGCTCTGCTGCTTTTACTCATATTTAATAGGGCAACTTGCAGAGAAAGGTGCTAGGGTGATTAAAGGCAACAGAACTTTCTGTGGGGATTCAGAAGGATTATCTAATGAAAACCAAACATCTTAAACATTTCTGGATCACCAGCCTCCTAGTCTACCCACAGACATTACAAAGGAGCTCCTTGAGAGCATCTCGTAGGACACAAATCTGCAGGAAACTATCTCCTCACCATGCTCTGCTCTTCCATGTATCCTCAGCCCTGCTGGCTCCACTAGGCAACTGAGCAGATTGAGAGTTCTCAGAATGGATTCTGGGACTCTGTTACAAGCTCGTTTCAGGGCTCTTCTGTCAGATTTGGTTACACTTGGCCAATGAGGTTAATGGTGAAGAAGATGAACTGACAGACACATGGTGGTACTGCACAAAATTCTTTCCTTAGGAAGTCAGCCTAAAAATACACTCCATCCCCTGCTAGCTGTCAGTCTGTTTAAATTCACCATTTGCTTTTCAGTTTCCAGCAGTATTTTTCTGGCTGTTGGAGTTTATTTTTTTTTCTCTCCACTTTTCCCTTTTCTGAGACACACGTTACCCACAAGTGTGCTCCCTCACCCCAAGAGCCATTCAGTATCTGGTGGATTACACCACAGCAAGTCATTAGGGTTCCTCTAAGCTGTCTGAGGGAATCTGATTTTATTTTTGCCCTGCTGCAGCTGTGCTACCTTTAATACGATACAATCTCAGGTCTGTGGGCTTCCATTCTGTGGCTTCAAGGCCAGGCTGGATGCAGCTTTGAGCAATGGGCTGGTGGGAGATGTTCCTGCCTATAGCAGGAGGGCTGGAACTAGATGATCTTAAAGGTCCTTTCCAACACAAACCACTCTATGATTCTATGATTGTAATTTCCTGGACTTTGAGGCTTTGATCAGCACTCTCTGCATCACATGCAGCTTGGTGTGAATTAATCTGTGCTTTGTCTCTGACAGACGCTACTGAAGTAGAAGGATCTTCCAGAGAAAGTAACTAGGCTCAGCATAATTCCTTCATTTCTCTTCAGTGATGAAGAGCCCACCTTAACCTTCCATTCATTATTCTAATAATTACATGCCACCAGAGATGTGGACACATAAAACAGCAATACAGAGATGTGGACACATAAAACAGCAATACTATACCATATACCTGGCAGCATACATGTAGATCGTTTCACAACAGCCTTCTGATTCAAGTCCCCTCTCAGCTCAAGGCTACAGAAGGAACACCAGCTCTCCTCACGTTTCACAGACCCAAGAACTGCTCAATCTCTGGATCACACTTTCCATACGCAGAGCGCTACACTGGTTGCATGACGCTCTCACCACCCTGTTGCTGTGAGTAAGGGTCTCAGATCTTTTCTTTAGCTTTCCAAGAGGGAAGCATCATTAGATAACTGACTAGAGTGAAGGTGATGACAGAAAATGTGCATAGAATGAACGGCCTGGGTTGAAAAGGACCACAGTGCTCATCCAGATCCAACCCCCTGCTATGTGCAGGTCGCCAACCACCAGACCAGGCTGCCCAGAGCCACATCCAGCCTGGCCTTGAATGCCTCCAGGGATGGGGCATCCACAGCCTCTCCAGACATCCGAGGACAGAAACAACTTTGCCTGGTGATCAACTCAGAAGCTGAAGAGCCTTAGAGCTGGTGTGGCAGATAGCACAGAAGGGTGGAAAGGATGGAAGAAGGCTGTGTGCATACGGCTCAGTGCTCTGTACCTTGGCTGTACCATAGCAAGGTAAGGCTAGTGGACAGTTATGATGAATTGCCTGCATTTCTGACCTTGCTTAGGCTGGTACAATCAAACCACTGCCAATGCAGCCCTGCTGTGAGATAATTGTACTTTTTTAGTGCACCTTCATCTAGTGAGGAATCCCCACAGTTAATCCTGTGCATGTCCATGAGGGAAGAAGCATAAATATTATAGATGCTTGGCAATCTCATGTCAACCCTGAAAAACAGCATGGCAAAAGAGGAGGTTTCAAAGAGCAGCATGTTAGTTACCTATGACAGATGTAAACAACTCTGGAGCAGAGCTTCCAGCTGCCATGAAAGTCGCCCCAGCCACATCTTCACTAAGATGCAAGCGCTGCAGAGAAACACATCAGAGTTATTGATTACAACACTGGCAGGTGTATGGAATTCAACTAGAAATGTTACAGTCTGCTCAGAGTGGGAAACTGCCCATGTGCATTTAAAGGTTAAACAAAGGGAAAAAAGTCATCATGAGCACACACACACACACACACACACACACACACACACACATATATATGTACACAGTGTGCAATACGTGGCTTATCTCACCTAGTCTGCCTGTTACAGGTAGGGCTGGAGCTGAGACTTCATCCATTCCCTGACCTGCCCTGAAAATCATTTCAGCCTTGGACAGTTAATCTGTCCTCACCCTTCTTTCACTTGGATCATCATAACACAAACCCCCTACAGCCCTCCTCTAGGAGCATGCAGGGACTGCTCCTATTTAAAACAGTGGTTTCTGGAAGGAAAACAGCCCTCTCCTCTATGAAAACTTTATTGGCATACACTGTTTTCAAAGATTTATTTGGTTAATTGCTTCCTTTATGTTTTCTTCATACCCACTGTTCCATCTGTGCAAGACACCGTTCAGCAAATGTGACAAAGCTGTTAAAACCACATGCCTTGCTGGCACCCTCCGCAGTTTAATCTGAGGAGCTAAAAAAAGCCACCCCCTGCCATACGGCCATAAACTGCTGTGTTGTTACTACACGAAGCTGCCTTGCTCACATGCGTGCGAGTCAGCAGCTGCCATTTAACAAGCATGGGGAAGGCAGCCGACAGCGGTGGGAACGTTTCCCTAGCAGAACTGAAGGTTCACAGCAGCACAACCAACCCTGCAGACCAGAAGTCTTCCCCCCCCCCCCCTGCCCTTCCTAGCTGTGCAGAGTTACTCTGCAGCCTTCTCGTTATTAAAGGACATTTGCAGAGAGAAAAGATTGTTCCTAAAATGTGCATGAACTCCCTTCTCCCAGCTCTAACTTGATTAAAGATCCCACAAAAGATATTTCAAGCCTGTAAAAGAATTCAACTCTACCCACTCAGTGTATTCCTATAATAAAGAATTCTATGTATGTTTCAGGGACAAGGGAAAAGGAGAAGATATGCCCTAATCAAAAATGCTTTTTAAGCAAGAGGCCAATGATTGCTTACTGCTGTAAAAGCTTGTGGAACCTGATAAAACACAGCTTTATAGAGAGTGATAATAGATAGCATCAGTATAATTATAGAATAAGTTTATAGGAACAGAAGTACATCCCCAAAGGCAAGGTTCTTCTGTAGGATTCTCTGTGGATGTATGGAAACAGCCACCCCCCAGAAGTCAGTCCACAAACAGATGGCATATTTTGAAAAGATCAGGAATCGAGAAAACCAATTGAGTTGGTTCACCAGCAGGTACCCTTGAGGACATCTCCTAGATAATTTATTGCAATACATACGATGACTAAACTAACATAATAGGCTGGAAAATATGGCCCACCGTGTAAGGGTCAGAAACGTACTCTCAGGTATCTATAGGCCATGTTTGCAATTGACACTGTGACGTTAGTTGTGCATTGTAAATGCACTGCTACATCAAAGAGTAACTGGACAAACATAGGTACAAACAGTTCTAGAAAATTAGGGCATTAGCTTGGTTGTAAATACATCTGAATGAGGAATAATATGAATACCTACCATAACAAATGTTCTGGAACCGATTTTCCTCTGTGCACGCTTATTTGGGAGCATAAATGCACCCAAACTCAACAACCACTTTCCAAACTAATGGAGCTAAGCCAGAAAAAGGACATCTATTTCAAAATCCGTGTATCCGATCTGTCAGCACATCCCTGCCTCCCTTCCAAGTAACAGCACTCTCCCTTCCTCTCAGCCTCATGCTGGCTGTGCTCAGATTTAGCCTTAAGAGAGCTCAGAATGTCCTGCCTCGTGCTGTCATCCTTCAGTCACCTGAATATTTAGGCACTGCGATAGTGGAAGCTCCTGGGGACTTTTTCTTAAGAAAACCAGGCAGCACAGTTGGGTGCTGGGCTACAAGCATCAGGTTAGCTTAGAGTTAGATTCCATCAGAGCTGTCAACACAGATGATTTCCCCTACCATCTCCCACGCCTTGTCCCAGGGCCCAGCACAGCTGTGGTGGGTGACACTAGCAGGCAGAACAGCAGGCAGACCTCCAGCTGACACAGACTTCAGCCTGGCAGGACTGAACCATGTTATCTACATGCAGCAAAGGTTTCCTTGCCTGAGATCGGAGAGGGCTTACAGTCACTTCATGCACATGGTCTGTCTTCATCCTGTCTCTTTCTGAGCTGATTCAGGCTAAAACACAGTCCTTATCTTCTAAAATTTTAGCAAGCCAGCCTTAGTAAAAGAAGGGCAGAGCCTCCTTTTGTTGCTGGAGATGTTTAGGAGCTTCTTTACAGCCGACCTAATACTTTGCAGTATCCTGAATGTCAGTCAAGACAACTGCTGTCCAAAACCTAACCAGTCAACTGCAGCTCAGGACTGAGTGAGCTCAAAGCTTTCCAGCCTTGGCAGTGCAGCAGGAGGGATGTGCAGCTCCCCAGTTCCACAGGTAGCAAGGGAAGGACACAGCCCACAGGCAGCCAAACTTGGAGGTCAGTGACCCTCTCTTGCCCTGGATTTTTCACAGATGCATCTAAAGCCTCATGCTCATCAATGCAGGGGAGATCATCAAAGAGATTAAGACTGGAGGCAGCCGAGGCCATAGTGATTATGCTCAGGTCAAGTCTGTGATCTCAAGGAACACGTGTGTCTGGCAAGGAGTGGAATCAGGACCTTATATGAAGGTGTGATGGCATTCATGGACAAAAGAAGGGCAATTGATGTCATTTGCCTGGACTTGCACAGGACTTTGACACTGTCCTGCACCAATACCATATCTCTAAACTGGAGAAAGAGGGATTTGAAAACTGGACATTCAGTAGATAAAGAACTGGTTGGATGGTCACAGCCAAAGGGTTGCGTTCAATGGCTCTACGTAAAGGTTGAGTCGGTGAGGAGTGGCGTCCCTCAGGGGTCCTTCTTGGGACTGGTGCTCTTCAACATCTTTATCAACAACACTGACAGCGGGATTCGAGTGCACCCACAGCAAGTTTGCTGATGACATCAAGCTGAGTGATGCAGCTGACAAAATGTAAGGAAGAGATGCCATCAAAGGGACCTGGGCAGACTTAAAAAGCGGGCACGTGTTCAACAAGGTTCAACCAGGCCAAGTGCAAGGTATAGATGTGTGTACAGACCGGGAGAAGAACTCATTGAGAGCAGCCTTGCAGAGGAGGACTCGGGGGTTCTGGCAGATAAAAAGCTGGACGTGAGCTAGCAGTGTGTGCTTGCAGCCAATTGTGTCCTGGGCTGCATCAACAGAACGGCAGCAGGGCAAGGAAAGGGATTGTCTCCCTCTGTGCTGCCCTTGCAAGAGCCCAGCTGCAGTTCTGTGTCCAGGCCTAAGGATGAGGAGCTGTTGCAGCAGATCTAGAGGAGGGACATAAATTTGCTCAAGGGCTGGAGCACCTCTCCTACAAAGACAGTGAGGCTGAGGGAGGTGGGCTTTTCAGCCTGGAGAAGAGATGGCCTCAATGCGGCCTTCCAGGTCTTGAAAATTTATAATCAGGAGGAGGAGAAACTTTCTACATGGTCTAACAGTGACAGAACAAAGGGAAATGGCTTTAAACTAAAAAAGAGGAAATTCATGTTAGACGTTAGGAAGAAATGCTTCCATCAGAGGGCTGTGAGGCCCTGGCACTGCTGCCCAGGGAGCCATGGGTGCCCCATCCCTCGAGGTGCCCAAAGCCAGGTTGGATGGGCCCTAGCAGCCTGAGCTGGTGGGGGGCAGCCAGCTCACAGCAGGGGGTTGGAAGTACACCTTCTTTTAAGTCCCTTCCAACCTAAGCCATTCTATGATTTACGAGGGACTATCTCCAAGTTCACGCACCAGGAGAGATGCGGCCCATCTCCTGTGAGTGAGAACTATGAACCTGAGCCAACTCACACAGGCAGTGCTGAGCAACTAAACAAAAAGCATGGGGAACGTTCTAAGACAACAGCAAATACACCATCATCACATGTTGGGGCTCTCAAGGAGAGCTGCTGCTAAAGCAGCGCACATTTCTAATAATACAAATCTCTAATACTTACTTCACAAATCTTTTCCAATGAAGGGACAAAGAAATCATCGCAGACAATTGCCAAAGCATAAAACATATACATGGCCTGAAAAAGAAAAAAGAGATTGTTGAGTCTGGAGACTGTCAAGCAAAGAAACTGAAGTAACTGCAGTATCCCAACTCATCTTAGTTTGTCTTGGAATATACTTCAAAAGGAAATACTCTTGCAAGAAGACTTTGGGAGGCTCTGTGGGATTTAACAGATAGATCATGACACATTTATCCAAAAGTTGCTATCAAGTTCTAGGAAACTGCCAGCACTTTATCATCATTATAACAACTTCTTTTGAAAAACAAATCTCTGGATATTGCTGAGCTGCCCTTCGCTTTCTGCTCTGATGTACAGTGTAAAGCTTTTTTATGACTGCACTTCAAGAAAGCCTGGATTCTCAAGGAGCACATTTTGAAATGCTGGTGCTCTGAAACAGTGGAAAGGATCTTATTTTTCTGCACATAATCTGGGACAAACAAGCAAGGTTTTAAACCCAAGTTTCCGTGAAACAAGGGAAGTGGGAGAGGGCAACTGCATCTTCTGAAGACCTGCAAGAGAGGTCAGAGCTCACCTCTTGCAGCACTGTGAGTATACAGCATATCTATCACATTTGGCATCACTGTGAGGAACTAGAAAACGATCTATCTGCATAGGTTGCTAAAAAGCTGCTATGATACCACCTCAGATCTCATTCTTAGCAGATTATGGTATCAGCAAACATTTATCTATGTCTGTATGGATGTAAAAGCACGAACGTATGAGAGTTCCTTCAATTCTGGGCATACAAACAGGGCAGTGAAGCCCAGGACATTAAGCCTGGAACAAAATGCACTGCAGCAGCTGCACGCAAACTAGCTGTGTCTGGAACAAGGGCTATGAAAGGCTGCATGCAGTGAGGCAGGAAAGAGGAACACCTGAGCTCCTTTCTCCATTCCCCTCCTTTCTCCATTCCCCTCCATGAGCTTGCTGCCAGGAGCTGCACCCAGTGCTCACAGCCTTCCATCACAGCTCATGCTCGTGCACGTTTCCACATAGTGTGTCTTCACACTGCACACCACAGCATCACCACTGTTTTCAGTGCACGTGGGTCTTGATTTTTCAGTTGTTTTCAAGACAGAGCTTCTCACCGCTGAAACTACCTGCTGTAAATAAAAGGAGCTGAGAGAAGTGGCCAACATTTGTAGGAAAACAGTGCCTTAATCCTATTGATTTGGACCTTCAGAATGTAAACAGTGGCTGTAGGATGGCCCAGCTCTGCCTCATTTTGGATTGTTCACTCTGTACTCCCACACATAGCTTCAGATGCTATGATGAAATCAGGCTGCTCAGCTGTTGACAGTTGCTAGCTGAGGCATGTATCAGCTCTGCTGGAAATTCCCTGCAAGTCCCTTTTATAAATAAAGACTATTTTCTACAAAGCCCATTAATTCCTGCTGCATTTTCCCTTGCTTCCCACAGAAAAAAAATAAAGAAATAAAAAAAATCCCAGCAAAGACAAGAAGCAGAGTTCACTTCTTCATGGTTTTTGCCCTGCCATGGTTCCCATTTATGATAACTCAGCTCACCTGGGGTTCACAAGGAAGTAAAAGGTGAACAGGTATCTGAGAACCAGAAAAATTACACTCAGACCACAGGCTTGCCCTAACTGATCAGGTTCTTGTGGCATGGATTGAACTGCTGTCTATCTGTCTGTCTGCATCTGTGCCTGGATGCATGATACTGAAACAATGCACCCAGCCTTCAATCACTGAAGCTCTGGTGCTAGGAGTACATCAGAGTATATTCTTCTGAGAGGAAACCTTGGGCATCACAGAAGAATGACCAGAAGCAGCCTAGGAGAGTGAAGTGAGCCAATCTCATTGAAATACAATAGATAGAAGGTACCCAACTTCAGCCTAGATTTTTTAATCCTCTAATCACATTAATGTGCAGTGGGTCGTGCTGTCGTTTTCCCTTCCTAAATGCACAGTAATGCCTTTCAAGAACACTAATCTGTACAGCATCATCTTTATAGAGCGCATTCTCTCTATTTGCCATAGTCTACAGTCACAGAGCACAGGGCATCATATGGCTGCTGGGGATTCCTGCAATCTGTTACGGTTGTGGTAGCCAAGTTCTCCTGAAGTGAGACAGAAAACAGACCAAAAAAAGAAAAAAGAAAGAAAGAAAGAAAAAAGCACGCACTCAGATCAAGTCCCTTCAGCGTCTGCCTCAACATGGGGTGCACACAGCCTTTGTCTCCTCTGTGCCTTTACCATCTTTTCAGCTCACCCAAACCTACTATATCTACACAGAACGCACCAGGCAGCTTCAGCTTGGACTGACATCAGATGCAAGATGTTCTCCAAAACTCGAGGAAGTCTTTCTGATGGTTGTTAAACAAGCACTCCAGTGACTGACACGAAGAGCGGGTTTGCACCATCTCAAATGCAAAGACAAGAACAAGAAAAGCATACTGCATACCCACAACCATACACAGATATGAAAGCTACACTGCCTGTCATTCTACTGATTCTTACAGTGCACCATCACAAGCCAGAAGAGTGGCAATGGAATTTCCTTTTCTCTACTCCTGCTTATACATCAGCACGCTCGGATATAAGAGAAAGGGTAGCAAGTGGACAGAACTCAACAAGGAGTGGAAAAGTGAATGTGAAGAAACTGGACCATGCCTTCCCTCACCTTTATTGAAGGTGAACACCAGTGCTGCTGTGCCTGCTGAAAGCCCTGAACCAAAGCCTGCTAGGTCAGGAAGATGACTGCGGGTTACTTCAGCAAATTTTACATCAGGCTGACAGAACAGATCCTACCGACTTACAGGCCTGAACGTTTATCTTTAGTGATGTAATTGTTGTCACAATCTGGGTTCTGGCTGGGAGTCTTACTTAATTTATCTGGCTTGAGTTAAGTACAGTACAAAGAGTTCAAATCCACGGAATATCTGCTTAGAAAACAACTTGGTTCATGAGCTAAAAGGCTGGCAACTGCCCTTGGCAAGTGAACAGATGAGGACAATAACTGCTACTTCCTTGAAAGTGTCTTTTTTGTTTTGTTTGTTTTTACACAAACCAAACAAAGCACGGTTTGGGCCAGCAAGAACACGTCAAAAAGATTAAATTTTATATCAAGTCAGACTGGTAAAGATAGAACACAGACATCACTCGAGGCTATTTTACGTGGTAAGAAGGAAGAGAACCAGCAACAGGGCAGGCCAGTCTGTTCCATATATCCAACGTGGGCAAAAGCAGGCAGTGTGACTTTAAGACTTTGCAGCCAATTCGGTGGTTGAAGCTTCCAAGTTCAGCTGTGGCTGTTACTGCACCAAGCATCACTTAACTGCGTCCAGCTAAACAGAAGATACAAAAGCCTTTAAACAGGCAACCTACTGAAAAGATGCCTTTTCCCCTCAATAGGACAAGGGGAAATGGTTTCAAACTAAAACAGGATCGGATGCAAGGAAGAAGTTTCTTATGCTAACAGAAATCAGGCAGCGGCAGGTTGCACAGAGAGGCAGTGAATGCCCCATCCCTGCACACAGCCAAGGTCAGGCTGGACGGGGCTCTGAGCTCTGATGGAGCTGAGGGTGGCTCTATGCACTGCACAGGGGTTGGAATGGATGGCCTCTGAAGGTCCCTTCCAACTCAGATGGCTCTATGACACTTACCCTCCCTAGAAGTCTGCTTTAAAATTAAGACAATACAAGGTCCCCATATTAGAATTTTGCAACTATCAGATTAAGTACCACCTGACAACTGTTTTTTAAGCAATGCTTCTAACAAACATCAGAAAATTAATTGCAATCTCTGTAGATTACACATATTATTCACAGCATGTGATCTGCTGCTCAGGACTTCTATGTTTATCACTGCTGTTTGTCCAGCACCTCTTTGAATTTCTTGTGCCAGCCTCCATCCTGGCATTAGAACAAGACAGAAACCCAATCTTCATGTGCCTGGGGACACGTAGGCAGCCTGAAAGCAAGCCCAAAGGGGCCACTGAGAGTAAGGAAGTTGTAATGAGACAACTGAGCAGATGCTTGGAGAACCTTCCTCCAAGTTAGAAGAGCTTTTTTCGGGATAGACTGAAGGTGCCTATCAGAAGATTTAGATTGAGACCCTCAGGATGAGGAGGGATGAGTGCACTTCCCTGACTCCTCCCAGCAGTAAACCATGTCAAGGGAAAGAGGATGAACTGCAGAATCACGCAATGGTTTATGTTGGAAGGGAACTCAAACCCAGCTCCAACCCCTGCCGTGGGCTGGCTGCCCCTCACCAGCTCAGGCTGCCTGGGGCCCATCCAACCTGGCCTTGGGCACCTCCAGGGATGGGGCACCACAGCTCTCTGGACAGCAGTGACAGGGTCTCACTAACCCCTAAAATAGACTCTGCCTGCTTCACATCTCATCCACTCAGCTCCCACCTGAGCCCCTGGTCACTGCAAGCTCTGCCAGCCACATGTCAAGTCATCTTCCAGCTAAAGGACAGAGCAATGCTAGCCTCATTCTCTAGCCCTCTCCAGGCAGCTGGGATCCCACATACCAGCTCAACTTTACAGGCAGCATCAGCAGCCACTGCCCTACCATCACGATTTCCTCTGTGCTACATATAATGGGTTCTGAAAAGGGTGAATTTCCAGCCCAGAGCAGCATTAAGTCAAAGGAGAGCTGAATGCATTTTCCTGACGCGGCACAGAACTGGCAGTACCAAGTGCAGGACCCACACCTACAAGGCTCAGATGCACGCCTACTTTTCTATTCACAAGTCCCTTTTCAGCAGTTAAAGATGCCACAACTGAGAGCTACTCATCTCTACAATTTCATTTTGGGAAATCTGCTTTGTATCATGCTACCCTTCATGAAATAACCAGGACAGCTTATAGAGACATGACCTATATAAAGAGCTATTCTGCATTCCGTATTTTCTAGCAGCTTGTCTGTAAGAAAAAAAAATAATTAGTGCCTACACATAATTCTTGTTCACATTTTTCCTATAATCTAACGATCAAGCTGAATTTAGGATCAATCTAGCCACAGATCTAGAGATTACTCTGAAATGGATTACTCAATCTTGCTAAAAGATGTGTGTCTAACAGAAAGTGCTGTAAGCAGACTGTGACTTCTTGCAGCTCACGTTCCCCAGAAACATCAGTTGCTTGGATGAGCTGAGCACTACTTTGGTTTTCCATAACCCCCACCAACAGGTCCTGCATTTCCCTGGGAAAGAATGCATAGGGTATGGTCCTCCCAAGAAGCTCATTTAATTAGATAATTTTACATTAAATTGGTTCGTCAATCTGACCCGCCTCACTTCTGAATCAACAACTCATAAGTGATGCACACATCACCTCAAACCACAGTGCACCACTGAAAGCACTGCAACTAAGCACAGGGCTTTCCTTAATTCTGACTGCATTCTGAATCCTGAAAGCCACCTAGAAGTCCAGCTACGTGTAAACACTTCTATATCACACAGAATGAATAAAATAAGCATGTTTGGAGTACTGCAATAACAAGGCTTCCACGACACACAAATCCTCCCTCTCCTGTGGCAGCACACATCTCACAGATAGGTGAAATGATCTGCCTGCTGGCTTGCAGAGGTAATGGGTGCCTATTGCTGAGTGTCTATGGGACAGCCTCTGCCAAAACCACCTCAAAAAGAGGTAAAATGCTATGAGAACACCTAGAAATCCACAACCCTTTGGGAACAATGTCAAGACTGCCAATGAAAGTCTCAAGTGCTGGGAAGCTCCTGGACACAGACTTTATACTTAATGCTTTAGTAGTGCCAGACCCTGGCTCCTTCTCAATCTAACACCTCAAATCAGTGATTTAGCAGGGATGTCACCATTCCTGATATCTCTCCCTCTTCTCAGAAACGACATGAGAATAATTAATAGCAGTAAAGCAATCAGTTGATGAGCTACAAAAAACTTTCCAGGGGAAAATTAACCGTTATAGCTCCAAGCCTGCAATGTATCTTCAGTGGCCCACTTTGCATTCGAGCTGAAGTGCTTTCAGCTCAGGAATTTCTGCTGACTAAAACTATTGCTGAACTGTTCCTGCCCAGTTTCTCTTAGGCTTTTAAATTGTTTCAGGGATTACTATCATCTTTGTGAAGGTCATGTTAAGTAATTCACCACAGCCTCACTGTGGGATCTGAGGGAGTGTGTTTCCATTTTCACTGTCATTAAACAGTAGGGAGAAGATGTTTTGGGAATCCACTGAAAGGCTCCCACTTGCATCACCCCAAACGCACACGGTTTGATAGTGACAGGACAAGGGGGAATGGCTTTAAACTAAAAGAGGAAAGATCTAGGTTATTTAGGAGGTACTTCTTTACTCAGAGGTTGGTGAGGCCATGGCTCTGCTGTGGGTGCCCCATCCCTGGAGGTGCCCAAGGCCAGGTTGGATGGGCCCCAGGCAGCCTGAGCCGGTGGGGGGCAGCCAGCCCATGGCAGGGGCTGGGGGGCTTTGAAGTCCCTCCCACCCCAGGGCATCCTGTGATTCTGTGACTGTGAATTTCCCATTTCAGAGCATTTGCCCTCTGGTTTCTGATAAACAAGCTCTACCTTGATGTGTTTCAGAAATTAACATGAAAGTGGTAGCAAAGGAGAGACGGGGGAAAGAGAACAAGATTTTACCAAAATGAATAAAAAGAGTTCAGCATAAAGTCCCTTTGATTCTACAGCCCTGTCTCCTCAAACCTGCAGAGAATACTGACTCTGTGTCTATACCTTTTCCTACAACGTGCATTTCCATGTATGCTCTAATTTTATCAGACACTCGGTAACTGAAATGCTGGAGGGCAAAATCAGAATTAGAGGTTGATCACCTCCAGTACGGTGACGACTCCTTTCAATTGAGACTGAAGCAGCAGGTTGCTTAAAGCTGACAGTTGTTTTGTTACTAACAGTCAGTTCTCTCTTGGACAACAGGTTACAGTTACTCTCTCTGCCCAGAAAGGTGGTGGTTCCCCATCCCTGCACACAGCCAAAGTCAGGCTGGACAGGACTGTGAGCAATGCTGGAGCTGTGAGTGCCCCTGTGCACTGCAGGGGGTTGGAATGCATGGCCTTTAGGGTTCCCTTCCAACTCTAGGGATTCTATGATTCTATTCTGATTGGCTCAGAGTGGAAAGACACTGAGAAACGCCTCAGTAAAAGGCTTTCGTTTTCTTTCTGAAGTAGGCAGCTCATCTTCAATTTTCCGTCCTCAAAAATCTGCTTTGATATGCGTTGAAGTATGTTCAGCTTATTCAAAACTGACAAGAAAAAAAAGCAACCAAAAACAAAACCAAGAAAACCTCCAACAAAATCAAACACCAAAATTGTGGAAAAATAAACCATCTTGAGAGTAATTATGAAGCCCCAAATAATAACCTGAAGTAGAGTGGAAAACAGCTCAACATACAGTTTACACTGCCATCCTTATGAGAACACTGTGCGATTTCACTGTTACTAATAGTGAAAAAGTACAGTCCACATTTTGCCTTTTGTAAGCACACATGGAGACAAGGATTCCACTGAGATGAAGAATGACCGTAGCAACTCCTATTTTCAATGGTCTCATTCTAAACTTATTCCTGTAGCTCAAGAGATTTTTCTTAAAAACAGTTTTTGTGTTGAAACCTAAGAAACACGAGTTTACAAGGTAGCAGCAGGCTGTTATAATCATCACGTTCTGCAGAGAGCGGCTGCACAAGAGCTGTTTTTCATATACAGAGCTGAATTGAACTACACGCAGTTAAACTCTTCCTTAAAAACTCTCCTAGCACTTTCTGTATCACCCACAGTGGAGGTACAAGGGGACAAACCTTCCAAGACTGCGTTATGTGGTTCACCCATTTGCTGTACAGATGAGGAGCAATTGATACAGATGCTTGAATTGGGGATCAAGAGCAACCTTTCCCAATCAGAACACAAAAACTCTGTTTGTGGCAATAAGAACAAGAGAGACAAACTGTCAGCATCCAGTTTGCAAACAAACATTGCAGGACAACAGGCAGGAGAAACCCAACTTGGAGCCATCATCCTCTATCTCTAGTGGGGAAGCTGAAGATCCTCTGAAGGTCTTTCCACTAACAGCAGAGCAGCTCAGAGTGACTTGTATTACAGGGCATAACTTTGAGAGATGGTTTTTCTGGATTTTTAGGAGTATTCCTGCTAAAAAAATCCAGCTCAGGTTCAGGATTCATTTTTCAAAACATCTCAAAGCTAAATGCTCCCACAGAATCTTGGAAACCTTTGGCTTGCCAAAGTGAATAATGATGTTACTCAATAATTTACTGGAGCCATTCAGCTGAAATAAAATCATAACAGAGCACTCACATTACATGATGCAATACAATCTCATTTACACTTTAAAAGAAGTCATGAAGGCACATAGCTAATGATAAAGCAAGTATTTTCTTTGCTGCTTAAGAAGGCATTCTCCCCCTTGCCAAGTACCAAGTTGGCAGCACTTCTGAAATTGACATGAAAAAAAATTGTCTTCATCTACCCAACAGAAGTTGCAAAATGGATTTGGAGGGGAAGTGCTTCCTTCTATGTTGTTACTGCTTGGTCTTGTAACAGTCTAGGGGACTAATTGACTGCACTTACATTTAAATTTATCTCCACTACCCTGAATGCCGACCTTGCCAAGCACCCCTTCTACACTGCCTTGTTTGAGGCAGAGATCACGCAACTCCAAGCCAAAAACTGCATGGCTTTCTGACAACTGAGAGTTTAAAAACAGCATCTATTATAATCTTCCTGGCACGTTTCTGAACTTGGAGGCTCAACACTTTCTAGAATTCCCCAACGAATCCAGGACCACTGTGCAGCTGGTAAATGCAGAGTTACGACCTCTTCTTTAATGCATTCAGGAAGAAAAGCTCACTTCAGCAACTTAAATAGCTGGGGAATTCTGGAGATCCAAGTGAGAGACTGACTAGAGCATTTTCTAGTTGGATTACAGTATGACTCAAGCACCACTTAGACATTTCTTCTACAGGCACCATTCCTGTCAGGATAAACAAGAACCTTTGCAGCACCCATCCAGGCCCACCAAGCCAGGTTGACCAGGCTGGCATTTTGGTCTCACCTCTATTTGAGATGGTGGCTACTTCTCTCTCAGTGCTGGCCCTTTGAGTCTTCAACTGGAAAAAAAACCAACCCAACTTTCTGGCTCTTGTATATTTTGATTGAGGGTTTTTTTGGCCTGTTGTGTAACTTACCACGCATTAACATTATACTCAAATTAGTCACTAAAACTCACTCTCAGTCATGACTGAGAACAGAAGGGGAATGTCTGCATGCAAGAGCAGAAAACCCTGTGGGTAGGAAGCAGTATCAACTGTCAGTGAACATACTGAATCCAGTCCAAACCGATAGGAAAAGAAACACAGCGTCACAAAACTTACACAAATGACATGCAGGATGACAGCTCCATGCCTCCTGTCCTCGTTCGTGAAGATGTCATTGGGGAATTCATGGAGAGCTGCAAAAAAGAGAGAAAAAAAAAAGCCCAGATGCTTAACCACATACTCAAAACTGCCAAGTCTTCTGTTAAGTTACACAGTGCAAAAACACCAGAGCGTTCCGTGGGGTGGCAGCCCTACAACAACCACCCTGTGGGCCCCATGCAGCAGCTCTTTGTTCCATTGATGTGTCAGCTTAGCTTAACTTGTCCTCTGCCAATCAGACGTCTTGCCTTACTGTGCAATTTGCTTCCGTAGCAACTGCGAGCTGTGTACCCAAAGACATCTTGCAGAGAGCAGATAAACCCTATGGACACACATCACTCCTCCAGAAAAGTCCAAGGGGAAGCAGCATATTCATGCAGATGCCAACAGATCACTCCCAGAAAGCATTTCTAGCTCATGGTTTTGTACCTGGAAATGGATGGTACGGTTAAAAGCAGAGGGCAGGTGCTAGAAATACTCCAAATAAATCTCAGAGAGTCTCCTACTAACACAGCACTGATCTGTATCCACAGCTACAGTGGGGCTCTGTGCCTCAGCCTTACTCCTCCTCTGCTTTTACCTTAATGATGATACATATAATGTCCTGCTGCATTGCTAAGAAATGGGGCTGGCTCTCTGATCCTTCACAAAATAAGTGTAGAGAGTTGCAATTAGCACTGCGGGAAAGCAGCACCTGTCTCATCTGAATGCATGCTGGCTTGATTCCTTCCCCCTCATCTGCACACACAAAATGCTTACTTTGAAGAGGCTGCCCGCAGCTGCCGATGCTTGGAGGCACACTATGACAGAAGTCATTTCCTCTGCAGGCACAAAGGGGACATCATGTGCCATTTAAGCCCATACTCTGCTTTTCCTGTCAATGCAGTCCCGAAGGACAGTTCGTTTTGCTCCTTTCTACAGCTATGTTTCCCATGCTGTAAGACCAAAGCCTCCCTCTGACTCTTCTCCTCTTGACTTCCCAGCATTGAGTCCTCCAGCCGATCCCTGGAATTACTGAATGCTCTCCTCATGAGCAACAATGTTCTCCCAGTGCTGTTCCCAGCAGCACACACTTGGCAGCAAACTCCCTTTGAGCGTTCTAACTTTTTTTCCCAGCCTGGGTGCCTCTTATTGCCCTCATTGGGTGAACAATGCCAAGATGCTGGTATTTCCCTTATAGTTCCCAGGATGTCTTGCTGTATTAGATAATCAGCTAAGGCCTCAAAGAGGATGAAATCCAAGACAGCAGCAGACAGTGAGCATCACGTACAAAAGAACCATTTCCCCTTACCCACTTTTTAGCTTTACAAATCATTTGTGCATTTCACCCATAATACAACAGCTACGTCCCACGTGTGCAAGAATGGTGTTCAAAGACTCCCATGGCACAGCCTGCACACGTTCCCAACAGCAGTTTTTCCCTGCAGCAAACTCAAAGGGAAAGTCATTACTGTCCTGAATGAAGGACAGAAGTGTTCACTCTGCAGTTATGCAGTAGGATTCAGGCAGGATCTGTGCTCTAATTAGCTTCCGAAAGAGCATCTGTTGGCAGAAGTGAACCATGAAGAAACTTCATGCAGAAACAATTATTTCAAATAACAATATGATAGGGCAGAAGAGAAAAAGAAACAACACAACTCAAATCAGATGCTGCTTCCTTCACTCAGAATCAGCAGATCCTGTATACAACCTCGTTATTCCCACCATAAACTGGGGCTAACTTTGCTGAGAACAGGAGGTTCACCATGCTTCTCTGCAACCCCACTACCAAGATTCAAGGGCTTGGAATGGTCCAGAAGAAGACCCTCCACTATCTGTTGGTGATACCAAGCATGGCAATCTATATGCAAAATCCATCTTCTGTAATCCTTGTCTTTAGCAGTCAGCACATCAGAACTGACCTGTACACACTGTTGCTTATGCTTCTCACTAGGCATCCTCTTAACAACAGCCCACCTTGCCAGGGGACACAGTCCATTACTATGGTGGAAAATCAACTACACAGGCCCTCTGCTCCTGCCTGAGCAGGCAAAACATGCCTCAATCTATGCAGATACAGTAAGCAGCCTTCTACAAGCCTATCCAGTGCTGTGAGCTGACCAGGCTCGTACAGTCAGAAGACTCACAAAATTATTGTCATCATATGGGACCCTGAACATCACTGAAAGTGAACAAGGATCACATTCTACCAGCATTCTTGCACAGAAATGGGCTGAAGGTAACAATGAATGGTGTTCCTACTTGTGCAATCCTGCTGGAGCAGGCCTTGCAGAATGTTAGAATGATGTATTAAAACCAGCACTTTGGGCTCACAATCAGTGAAGAGCTTGACAACACATGAGGTATTAGAAAACTTAAATGAAAGACCTTGAGATGGATAACCCAGTGCTTTATGCACACTACTTGCGTTTCTCCACTTAGGATACAGACGAAGGGAACTAAAAAAGATACTAAGCTACAAACTGGCACCATAAACAATCCCTGCCCCTGTTGCTCTTGAACCTGGAAATCACATGGTAGAATGGCCATGGTAGGTACAAGTTGGACCAAAACAGCGCAGCCTTCTTGCTCCTTGGGGAGTGTTCTTAGAAAAGGGAGGCTCTGAAACTCCCCACGTGCTTGCTACTTGGCCCACTTAAAATACTTGTTGATTTTTACTGCACGAAGAACTCTTCAAATAGAACAGAACTGTAACCATGAATGGACAGCCAACCTTCAGTGAAATGAATGCCAAAACAATGGATGAAGTCTGAATGCTGAATTATGCATCATCTCATTGCCTGATGGACTGTCACAGTGCATGCAACAGTGCAGACTGGCTCTCACCTTTAACAGTGAGAGTAAGATGCCAGGTGCCATATTATCTTGAATGGAAATGGAACTGATATGTTGGTACTCAAAAGCTGGTCTAAGAATATTAACTTACCCAAATCCTTGAATAAGGATCCTAATAAGTCTTCTGTGCACTTGATACTATGGGGTTCTTTGTGTGTTTGTGGTCGATATGGCTGGTCGTACTCACCCTTTAACTGGGCTGGACAGTGTACTTGGAGATGGCCCCATATACCCAGCGTAACACACTCCAAACTACCACAAACACCAACTAACTGGCAAATCTTCCTCACCAAACATTGATATAAATGAACTGCTCTGTGGTCATTCTATGCCATAGCCATCCTCTCCCCACAAGCTGCAGTCATCAAGCACCTGCATTAGCTAATCACACTGCAGCAGCACTAAGTTTAACACAATAAACTATTGGGCTGATTAACCAGGAATCAGAAGAAACATGACAAATTGTTCTGCAGAATGGCATGCCATTAGACATATTGACCGCTGCCCAAGGGATTGCCAGTGTGCAATTATTACCACCGACTGTTGGGCACATATTCCTCATGTTTCCAGGAACATAACTCATGTGATGATACAGATGAAGATCCAAATGACTCAATTTGAGCAACTAACAAATGATCGTGTCAATATCTAGTTAGCCTCCATACCTCGACAGGAGAGAAAGTGGTTGTACAGTCAGTATTCTTGGGTTCTGCCTTATCCGCCCTATTGATTGCTGCTCACTCTATTGCCTATGTGAGATTTGGATGCAGTGCACACCAGCTATCTTCAAACGAGCTATGTCTCAGTTCAAGCCATGAAGTGGTGGAGCATGCAGCAAAATACAGATCCTCCCTAAAGGAGGCTCGCAGTTAGCTCTGGCTTTCTCACTGGGTTTAAGTGCACTAGAGTCATAAAGTCTTGGAAACGACAGACTAACAAGCATCCAGGAAAACCAATGTCCCACTATGCTAATCCAGAAAACAGCTCAGCTATTTAATTTGTTCAGTGTACCCTCATTAAGAGCTATATCTTTTTGTTAGGTTTGCAGTTCTCGTTCCAAAGTCAAGCAATGGGTATAACAGTTGAAAAGAGCATGCAATATAATTGGATAACCTTTGTTGCAAAGTTGTTGCAAGTCATTTAAAGATAAATTACTTTCATTTACTCAAATGCTTTATTACATTTCTGGCTGTTAATTGGATTATAAAGCACTTAAAGACAGTCTGCCAATTAGGTTGCAGGCATGGCTTTTGGTAATAAACTGCAAAGCAAGTGCAAGGAGGATGTTCTGGCTTTCGGAGCGTTTCTCAGTAATTCCCATTTGAATTGCTCAATAAAAGCTAAAATAACAGTTTTCTTCTAATGGTCACTTCCACACGTTCAGTCTTGAGCTGGAAAAACCAAGCTGCTTTTTCCTGGCTTTCACATCATTATCATGAGTAAAGCTTCAGCAATTGGAATTTAATTAGCAATTCCATAGATGATTAAATGGAAAAAGAACGCAGCTAACTCTCACAGCTCCGCCGCCTACTAAGCAGTAACTGAGCAAGAAGGAGCTACATCACGTTTGCTACAGACCCAAACAAGTGGTTTTGTTCAGGAAACCATTTGCCAAACCATAAGACACTGCAAAGGAAACACGGGGGAGCGTTTTTAGCCGCACACAGAACGGTTTGCTAACACACATGCACATGCTTCTCTTCCTCCTGCAGCTGCTGAGAATTTTGTCTCTCAGCAGACAGTCAAAAATCCAGCCCCTTCATCAGGAGTCTGCACTTGTTCAAGGAGAATGAAGTGCACCTAAGGTAAAAGCCTGCAGGAAAAAAAAAAAAGGTGTAAAAATAGGCTGATAGCTCCGGGAAGGAGATAGGGAATCCTAGTCATCCCTTCTGGGCACAGCAGCAACATCTCATTCTCACTCAGGTTCAGGTTCCAACCCCACGCTGTAATGAAATGTACCTCCTTAGCTGAGAAAATGGCACGTGTTCATTGCTCCGAGACACTGTCTGAACACAAATGTTCTTAGTGGCTTAGACTCGAATGCGTGCAATTACAAAATAATGTATGCCAATTTGGAATCTGCCGCATTTTTATGAGATGCATCAGGTGCAGATGAGTACAGATAAGAGGAGAGCTCTGCAAAACACTGGAGCTCCTTTCTGAAAAGAAACAGAGGGTGCCTCTGCAACCCCACTCTAAC